ATGTGTACATATATATGTATGTATATACACATATATATAAAATGCTTATTATATATATATAAATAGATACATAATGCTTGTTATGTGTGTGTGTGTGTATGTGTGTGTGTGTGTATGTGTGTGTGTGTGTGTGTGTGTGTATGTGTGTGTGTATGTGTGTGTGTGTATGTATGTGTGTGTGTGTGTGTGTATGTGTATATATATATATATATGTAAAATGCTAGTTAAGCGGTGGGTTCAAATCAAGTCCTGTTCCCAGCTCCCAGTCCCAGCGTATTTCTTTGCTGTGGCCGTCAGTTTGCGTCTTCCTTCTGCTCTCCCCACTCGGTTGAGCTTTGTTTCTTCTTCCTGGCATCCCTTGTGTTTTCCTACTCCTTTTTCCCTCCTCCCGTTTACCTGCCTGCCGGACTCTCCAGTTCTTTCAGTGCTGCTTCATGCACACACCGGCCTGTTCCTCAGCTTGCCAGGCCTTCTTCCCCCTCAGCACCAGCAGGCTTGACTTGTTTCTATGTATGATATGCTTCCTTGGTTATATTTTCCTCCCAGTGAAGGTGTGTTTTACTCTCCTTATTCAGATTCCAAGGAGCTAGATCGCAGACGAGCGAGAATCAAACACAGTGAAGGGGGAGACATCCCTCCCAAGTACTTTGTGGTCACCAATAACCAGCTCCTGAGAGTGAAGTTCCTCCTGGTGTATTCACAGAAGCCACCCAAGAGGTAAGGACGCTCCCTGCGTGAGGTCCAGGAGAAAAACTAGTGGCGACATCCAGAGTGCTGGCTTTCTTAGGTGTCATAGGTATCAGCCTCCGCTCCCCTAGCCTTAGACCTCTGCCAGGTATCAAGTATGCAAAGCACCATGCTGGACATGGTGAGGGGTAAGATAAAGGAGCTGGAGAAGGTGTGATCTTGACCCTAAGAGGACTGTATCCCAGTGACAAGAGAGAAAGATTGATAAACACAAATGGCATGAGGGACTGACTGAGTCCAAATTGGCTGCTCCAAACAGTGTGGCCCCTTAGCCACTAGGCCTGTGATTCTAGTCTGAGACCCACCGATGAAGTTAAGCTGCGAGGCAGGGCAGTGACTGGACACTGGGTGGGATTGTGCACAGGCTGGCTCAATAGCTTCCCACAGTGATTGCTGAACCACTGACTGCTCCTCTCTGGACCTGAGGTACTTCATCTTTATCTCTAAAATGAGGGCATTGAACTCAATAGCAGATGTGGGTCTTCAGACCTTACCAGCTTTGGTGGGTGCCTAGTCCCATCTCTGCAGCGTGGGAGTGGGGGTACGTGTGATGCTCACCAGGGTTGGGGGCCACTCTTGAGATCTTGTTGCATTGTTGGAATCCACAACGGTGCTTCTTGCAGGGGCCAGCCGCAGGCAAGCAGTTGTGACAGGAGAAGGGGTCACTTTAAATAGTCCCCAGTCCTCTTGTACACATCAGTGATTTCCATGCTTCCAGACCTCATAAACCAGTGAAGTCTCCTCCCCACCCCTGCGCAAATTTGGGAAATGTATACAGGGTGCCTGGGTCCAGCTGACATTATGCTTTGGTTTAAAATCATCTGATCTTCTCTTCATGAAAATTCCATTCCTTTTCCACTTCTCCCTGGTGTGTCTCTTTAGTGCACACTTAGATGGTTTAGATCATCTCCTAGTGGGCCAAAGAGGATTTCCCCAGCTTGCATTTGTATCTGCATGTGTCTAAAAGTGAAAAGACTTTAGCTAAATAATCTACCACCTGCCACCATCTGGGGAGACCCTGAGTTAGGTCATTGTTACAGATACCAAGATGGGGGCTTGTAAAAGGTGAAAGAGGAGCTACAAAAGGGAAGATCAGGATGAGCTCATCGCATAGCTGTCTTTGCACATTTATAAAATATCCTGTTGAAAGGCGTGTCAGTGCCCGGGCAAGCTGCCCCAGGTTTCTTGAGCAAGGAAGCACGAAGCTTCATTTCATGGCTCAGGCAGAGGATGAAATTCATCAGTTTGTCTTTTTTGAGCCAGACTTGTTGCACACACTTAAAAAAAAATGTTTTTCTCTTTTTGCCAACACCACTCTTTTTTCCCTTTTAAGCAGGGCTTCGAGCCAGCTCTCCTGGTTTTCCAGCCATTGGTTTACGGTCACGATATCCCTGTATCTGCTGCTGCTGCTCATAGTGAGTGTCATCAACTCCTCTGCTTTCCAGCACTTCTGGAATCGTGTGAAAAGATAATCTTTTGGGGGCTACCTCGACTATGTGCCTTATGGTAACTTGTTCTGTACCTCCTATGCCTCGTGTCCAGCCGGATTGAGCCTAGGGGCCGACTGGGGGACCACAGGACAATTTTCATATGCCATAAATGTATCAATTGCCTTTGATGATGTTCCCAGCCACACTCCAGTCAACGGGGACTACTAGTCCCTCATTCTTAGGATTTGGGGGAGCCCTTCCTTCTGCTCCTTCTTAAACAGTCCTAGGGAGTTGGCTTTTCAGCCAGGGCCAAAGGAAAAAGCCCTGCTGCATTTAAAAACAGAGTGTCCAAGCTGTCAGTGGTGTGTTTACAATCGCTCCTGGCAGACGTTGGCCCTTTCTCTAATGCCTTCTGGAAGGTGGAAAATGTGGGAACTATAAATCACTAGGCGGTTGCCTTGTTTTGACTTGAGACACCCAAGAGGAACAGTCATGTTTCTCATAAAAATCAGTGGGATCATTTTTGAATTCCATCAGCCTTTGTATGTGAATGCAAAACATTTTAACAGTTTCCTCAAATCAACAAACAGCCTTCTCCTACAGCTGTACCTCCCCCACCCCAACAAACCATGGATGAGAAAGAAAGGGGTCAGGGGCCTGATAAAAAATACAGACATAATGAGCAACTCAAATCATCTTTTTCTAAAAAATGGAACCAAATGTTTGTTTTCCGGGTTTTTTTTTTAAATAGCTGTTTGACAAATTAGTCTTTGTGAGCTGAGTTAAAAGGGGAAATTTCGGCCGGGCACGGTGGCTCACGCCTGTAATCCCAGCACTTTGGGAGGCCGAGGCGGGTGGATCACGAGGTCAAGAGATCGAGACCATCCTGGTCAACATGGTGAAACCCCGTCTCTACTAAAAATACAAAACATTAGCTGGGCATGGTGGCGCGTGCCTGTAATCCCAGCTACTCAGGAGGCTGAGACAGGAGAATTGCCTGAACCCAGGAGACGGAGGTTGCGGTGAGCCGAGATCGCGCCACTGCACTCCAGCCTGGGTGACAAGAGCGAAACTCCATCTCAAAAAAAAAAAAAAGGGGAAATTTCTAAACCTAGTGCACTGTTTGGCCGGTGTCCACGGCCTCCTTCCTGGCTGTTTCAGAGGAAGGGATTTGAGCTGTAGGCTCGCCTCCTGTTCTCATTCTCACAAAGCTGCCTTGACTGGCCTGCCAGCCACCAGTACCGTGCTTGAAGGCCTTCTGTGGCCTTCGAGACAGAGGCCTGCCTCAGTGTGCCACAGATCCATGTGGATAGAGCCTCCTTCAGAGAAGTCACGGGTCTTTAGGACTCAGCCTGGGTTTAATGTGTAGGAAAAGTACCTTCTGGGCACCCAGAGAGCCAGAGTCCTGCTTGCCGTATTCTCTGCTGGGTTTTGGCCCTAATAGAGCCCTATATGATTTGGGAGTGAGATTTCTGTAAAGAAGGGGAAAAAATAATTTTTCTATGATTTGTAAAGTTGTGAAAGTGCCACGACCACAGTTTTTACATTGACTTGGAACATTTCAAAATAAATAAAGATATTTTCTTAATGACTTAAGTCACCTTTGTGAGTGCTTTCAGCCTCAACATGAGTCTGCCCTGTATGTCTTGTTGAAAACCTTACCTTCCATCATTCCTTGTTTGAACTTGCTGTTTGCTGAGAGCGTGTATCACCAGGATACCTAGGAAGCGGTGGATTTCTAGTCAATGACTTAATAAATGTGAGTACTGCATGCCAGGCACTAGGAATATGAGCAGGATCAAAGCCAGAAAGACCCTGCTTTCACGGAGCTGACAGCCTGGCAAGGTGGACAGATGGACAGACATTTCAAGAGTGAGGCTGGGAGTTCATGGTATTATAAATTTAGGGAAATACTTGGCAAGAAGTCCTAACATGGTCTAGGGTTAGAGAATACTCAGGTGACACATGTAACATTGCAAGGCAGCTCACTGTACTGATTATTCTTCACAGCACACCTTATCCACTTTTAAAAATTATTTATTAATTATTTTAATTTTTGTGACAGAGTCTCGCTCTGTTGCCTAGGCTGGAGTGCAATGGCACAATCTCGGCTCACTGCAACCTCTGCCTCCTGGGTTCAAGCGATTCTCCAGCCTCAGCCTCCCTGTAGCTGGGATTATAGGCACATGCCACCTAATTTTTGTGTTTTTAGTAGTTTCACTATTTTGGCCAGGCTGGTCACCAACTCCTGACCTCAAGGTGATTAGCCCACCTTGACCTTCCAAAGTACTGGGATTACAGGTGTGAGCCACTGCACCTGGCCATTTTTGTATTTTTAGTAGAGACAGGGTTTTGCCATGTTCGACAGGCTGGTCTCGAACTTCTGACCTCCAGTGATCCACCCTCCTCGGTCTTGCAAAGTGCTGGGATTACAGGCGTAAGCCACCACGTCCAGCCAGTCCCAGAGAGTTTAATAGCTTGCCCATGGTTTTATTGCTAGGATGTGGCAGACCTGGGAGTTGAACCTAGCAAACTGATTTCAGCGTAAGTCATATAACCCCCTTCCTTCCCCCAGAGGAGTTGGTTCTAAGCTGAGAGGTGGAGGAAAAGTATTTCAGGCAGTAGGAACAGCACATGCAAAGACCTGGAGTTCTTGTAGAAGCTAAAAGCAGGCAGGTTGTAAAGGAAGAGGCAGTGATGAGGAATTAGGCTGGAGAGGTAGGCAGGGACCAGATCTTGAAAGACTTTAAAAGCTGTGGGCAGAGGAAAGCCATTAGAAGGGTCTGAGCAAGGAAATGATGAGATGGTTTTCAGAAAAATCAGTCTAGCTGGTGGTTGGTGAATGGATCTAGAATTACTTTGAGGATTAAAAGGATTGATGCTTATGGCAGTGCCCAGTGTGGAGTAAATCACTGATATGTGTCAGTTGCTATTATTTGTTTTTAAGGGTCCAACAGAGCAGAGAGCCTGCAAAGGAGATAGCAGTAGTGACCAGAGAAACAGGAGGAGACTGAGAACGCAAAGTGACATGGAAGCCAAAGAGGAGGGCCAGATGAGCAGTGTGGAACGCTCTGAGAAACCAGGGTTCTGCCTGAGAAGTGTCTGTTGGGTTTACTGGATTGGAGGAACAGTTTCAGTGGAGTTCAGCGTAGGGATGTGAACGGTTAGACTGCATAGATGTGAAGTTTTTGCAGTTTCCAGGAATTCTCAGTGCCCTGAGACCTGGCCATGTGTCTCAAATTAGGAACCCGGCGTTGGCTTTACTCAGCTGTGTCGCATTAGCTCACTGCTAGAAAGCAGGGCTGAGGAGTGGGCCTCTCATTCCAGCAATATTTGTTGCAAACCTAGTCCTGTCTTTTTTTTTTTTTTTAATGAGTTTTTCTACGGCACCCCATACATCTCACCTCCAAACCACCCCCACACACGCAGAAAAAGAAATGTGGCCAGGCGCAGTGGCTCACGGCTATAACTGCGGCACTTTGAGAGGCCGAGGTGGGCAGATCACCTGAGGCTGGGAGTTGGAGACCAGCCTGACCAACATGGAGAAACCCTGTCTTCTACTAAAAATACAAAATCAGCCAGGTGCGGTGGTGCACGCCTGTAATCTCAGCTTCTCGGGAGGCTGAGGCAGGAGAATTGCTTGCACCTGGGAGGCGGAGGTTGCAGTGAGCCAAGATCACGCCACTGCACTCCAGCCTGGGCAACAAGAGCGAAACTTCGTCTCAAAAAGAAAAAAGAAATGGTAACGCAATACCTGATATGGCTGTGGGCACAGAAGATACAGAAAGAATGGTCTTGCCCTCCGGGAGCTCCAGTGTTATTGGAGGGACATGAGATAGCAGGTACGTTGGATATGGGGGAAGGAAAACTCTGGAGTCTAGAGGGTTCAGGGAGGCAGGAGAGAAGACTGGACAGGGCCACATTATGACTTCCGTGGACCCTGGCCAATTTTGCCTTTCTGGGCCCCTTTTTCTCCGTAAAAAATATTTAAAATGGTATTAATGCATTGATAGAAAGATGAATATATTAATATGTACTAACCTACGTTCTTCCACTTACATTATTTTTTCTTCTACTTTTAAAAGAAAACATTTTTGCAATGTGGGCCTTAGGCACTGTGCTGCTATGTCTAATGGATGAGCTAGCGCCAGACTAGTGTACCAGGGATCGTGCAAGACCTCGGGGTACCTGGGACTGGGAGGCAGGAAGGAGGCAAGCCCCACGAGACGGCACGTTCTATTTAGTGCTGACCCGCAGTCTCGGGCAGATCCCACAGGCCAAGCTGTGGGAGCTCAGTCAGGGTGGTGGGAAAGATTTTAGAGGAAAAATTATAAAGTGATAGGAAATAGTTACAGACCTTTTTGGAGGGCCAGGGCTCTGCATAGCCTCAGTAAAAGGTTTGGCTGAAGGCAGCCCAAGCCTCTTTGCCTTGAGTTAATAGCAGAAAAGCAAATAACAAGGGGATGTGGGAGAGTTTATCTAAACAACATGTTTACGCGCGGTCCTAAAACTAACCTCTGATCATTTGCAGTCAGGATGGCTCTCTGGGACGGAGGGCGACCAGGTCAATTACCCTGTAGTGGTGTTGGCTCAAATCCGTTGTCATTTAATGTATGCTGACTAAATGCTAGTGAGGCCAGCTAGCCAGGCCCCCCGCCTCACCGCCCCGCGGCTGCCATAACTCTTTCAGTTAGTGGCCTGGCCCCCTGGTTTGCTCTTTCACTGAATATCCCTGTCTGAGTGCGTTATTCATCTGTCGTGCAGCTGGGGTCTGTGGGACGGACCCGGCACCAAGCAGCTCTGGGAAAGGTGAAAGCCTTTTAGGTGGAGCCACCTCCTAGGGGCCCCCAGCTGCCTGACTCTCAGCTGCTCTCTGTAGCTAATCTCAGCTACAGTTTTTTGCCTTAGGTCTTGTGAAAAGCAACCCCGTCTGCCCTCTGTCACTAATGCCATTGTAAAGGGGGATTTCTCACAGGTGAGGTCCTTGCCTGTGAAAATACCCAGCATCCAATGAGCTGTCAGTTTGTACCAGAAAGGAAAGGAGTTTTACTCTATGGGGATAAGTACACGTGTGTATGAGAGAGGAGTGGGGAAATGGTTCAGTGTCACTTCTGTGTAATTCATTTCGTTAAACACCGATCGCCTACAAAACCGGTAGAGGAGTGGGGAGTTTGTGATTTAAACAGCCGGAATCAGATATTTTTCTTGAGAACATGGCCTCGTCACATCTGAGCCCATTCCTGCTAAACCCAGGAGGTTTGTGTTGGCACGGGGTCAGCCAGCACTCTCCCCGTTGCCATGGTGATCCTTAGGCCCTCAGGCTGGATTTAGCTCACACAAAAATGGGACCACGCCCCTCTCGAGGCCCCTCCACAGCCCCCCTCGTCTCTCTCCCCACTCCCCTCCTCTCCACTGTGCCCCACCTCATGATTTTTCCATCTCTTGGCCCTTGTTTGTTTTTGCCTTTGTCAGTCTCCTGCCTCTGGATGGGTTTCTGTTTGTTTCCAGACTGTCTGGGGCTGTGCACCATGGAGACAGTGTCCTGGGCTGCCTCTAGCCCTGATCTGGTTAGAATAAGCCCCTCTCCTTTGCATGCATCTCCAACCTGACATTTGGAGCATCCAAAACAAATCATGACATTCCCAAGTAAAGATAGAAAACACTGTCTCCACCCACTCTGACTGGCGCCCTTGTCCACCTGGAAAGGGTTTTTCGAAAATTTCCAGTGCTCTGCTGCAGTGTCCATATACTCCAACTGAAAAGGGGAAGCAGCATTTATTGAA